AAAAAAAAAAAAAAGGCAATTTTTCTGGGGTCTCCCTGGTGGTCTAGGGGTTAAATTTCAGCTCATTCACTTCTGGGCACTGGATTTGATCCCCAGCCAACAAACTGAACCACAGAGCACAGGAGACCTCTTCTGTCTCCCCTGCTGCTCAACTCAGCAGTGTATTTCTGAAGAACTGCCTCTTCGGGTTCCCACTCTTGTCTCTGGTGAATACTCTCTCTACACCCACACTTTTGGCTTGTACCCCAGTTCTTGAATGCATAAATTAGTACCTCCTTAAATTAGTGTTTGGTCAACAAAATATAAGCAATAATCTCTGGAGAAAACTGAAGAAAAAAAAAGTTTTACTTCTTTTTTAAGATTTATTTATGCATACAGAACTGAGGTACAAACCAGAGGTGCAGGGGAGGTGAGAGGATTCACCAGAGACAGACTGGGATGCAAAATAGGCAGACCAACTAAGTACACTACTGAGGGGAGCAGCAAGGCGAATCAAGAGGTCTGCCTTGACATATGGATCACCTCCAGGGCGGGGGATCAAACTCGCATTGAAGCAGTAGCGCTAGCTTGCAGTGCTGCGACTAACCCATTGCACCACTAGGGAGAGCCGAAAAAAAGAAAAGTTTTAAAGTAAAAGTACTCCCTTAACTCTCCTGTAAGTCCTTTGTTGAGCTTTTTATATTAAGATAATCTTTACACTAATAAAAGGACTTGAGGGGCCTCCCTGGTGGTGTAGGGGTTAAAGTCTCAAGGCTATCAAGCTATCATCAGCCACTAAAGCTCAAGTTCCATCCCCAGCCAGGAAGCTGACCCAGAGGGCACAGTAGGCCTTCTCCTGTCTCCCCGCAGTTTCCTTTAGCAGTGAATTTCAATAAAACTGCCTGTTCTGCTCCCTACTCTGTCTCAGGTGAATCTTCTCACCCCTTATACCTTTGGCCCACATCCCAGTTCTTATATGCATAAAAAAAAAAAGTCTTTATATTTTACTTTTCTCTTCATAGGTATTAAAGATTCTCAGGGTTAAAATGCAGCACCATATGAAACAAGTGCAGCTACTGCAACATGAGTTGGAGCCCCAGTGGGGGTCTGGGTGGGGTGGTGACAACACATGGTACAGCAGACATCTCCTGTTAAGCCCACTGCCCTGCACCCCTGGCCTGTACCCCAGTTCTTATATGTATAAAAAAAAAATCTTCAAAAAAAAAGAGTCTCTGTCTCTTATTCAAATGATTTAAACACTGTTACTGTGAAAGTTACAACAGTTAAAGTGAAATTACATCATATCTTTATCAGTTTATTTGAAACACTAACAGTATATTAAGACAGTATTTTTAAAGGATGCAACAGTTGATGTCTTGATAATGTTCCATCAATTAAGTAATTATATTAATATATATAAAATATTAATTACTACTCTACAATGAAAGCAAAAGGGTGAGACATGGCTTCCCTGGTGCCAGTAGGTATTAAGCAGTGGAAGGTCTGTTGTAGAGGTTCAAAATCAAGCAGCCTGGCTCTCCCTCATGGTGCAACAAGTTAGGACGCAGCACTGCAAACTAGCTAAAGCTGCCTGAACGAGAGTTCAATCCCTGGCCCTGGAAGTGATCCACATGGTGAGGCAGAATTCTCTTGACCTGCCCGCTGCTCCCTTCAACTTCCCTTTATAGGTCTGCCTACTCTGTTCCCCATTCTGTCTCTGGTGAATCTTCTCACAACCCCAGGATCTCTGGCATGTACCCCAGTTTTGTATGCATAAATAAATAAATCTTAAAAAAAAAAAATAATCAAGCAGCCTTGTGTTTCCAGGAGTACCACCACCACCACCAAATAAAAGCTGTTATCTGTCCAGAACAGGGGCCAGTATACAACAGCCTGTGGTCACACCTGGCCTGAGGTATGTAAGTATGTATACACACACACACACACATCTGGCTGAGGTACATATAAACACACACACAATCTGGCATGAGGTATGTACATGTAAACACACACACAATCTGGCACGAGGTACGTACACACATATGTGCATGTATGTGTGCACATACACCAGACAGCCAGACACGCACACACACGAGGCAGCATATACCAGATATGGTCTTCAAAACAAGCATTTCCTATCTGGCCTTTAAAGGGAAAACTTACGGATGATGGCATTGCCCTTATGCTACTTATTGTACTTGCGGGTGTTGGCAATGCCCTGCCTGAGGTTTCAAGACACATGGGCTCCTGGATGTATCCTTATATCACCTATTATTTGTGATGTTAGGATGTATCCTTACATCAGATAATGCAAATAAAAATCAAAATGCAGTTTATCCATGTAATGAATGAAGTCCTAGTACATACTACATTAAATGAAAGAAGCCAGACACAAAGGACAAACATGTAATTCCTCTTATTTTAGGTACCTAGACATGCATATTCACTGAGAAAGTAGATCAGAGGTTGGCATGGACTGAACTGTGGGAAAGGATGACAGGTAATGGAATGGTTCTAGTTTCTGGTTTCTTTTTTTTGCTTAAAAAAAAAAAAAAATTTATTTATGCGTACAGAACTGGGCACAGGCCAGAGGTGCAGGGGCAGTGAGAAGATTCACCAGAGACAGAGTGGGAAGCAGAACAGGCTGACTAACAAAGTACACTGCTGAGGGGAGAAGTGGGTGGGTCAGGAGAAGTCTGCCACATCATGTGGATCACCTCAGGAGTGGGCATCGAACTCATGCAGAAGTGGCCTTTAGCTTCTTAGTGCTGTGCTTTAACCTGCTGCGCCACCGCAAAGTGCCTAGTTTGTTTTTTTTTTCTTAAAGATTTATTTATGCATTCAGAACTGGGTACAGGCTAGAGGTGCAGGGGTGTTGAGAGGATTCACCAGGGGCAGTGGGGAACAGAACAGGCGGATCAACTGAAAAACACTGCTGAGCAGAGCAGCTAGTGAGACAGGAGAGGTCTAATGTGCCATGTGGATCACCTCTGGGGCCAGGGATCGAACTTGTACTGAGTGGCTGAGTCCAGCTTGCAGTGCTGCGCCTTAACTTGCTGCACCACCAGAGAGGGCCCAAGA